TGTGTTGGCCGCTTGCAAGGCAAACGGCCTACCTGCTGTGCTATCACTCCAGCCTCCATTATCAGTTTTAACCCTAGCTGGTAATCCCAAGGTGTCAAAGCACTGTAAGTAATGGGAGATGACCTGCTTAGCCCTTTCTCCGATGTGGGCAGTAGCCCAGTAGGCTTTAGAGCACGTATCCACACTCACAAAAATATATTTTAGCTTGCCAAATGGTGTGTGGTGGGTAACATCAGTTTGCCAGAGGGTGTTGGGCTTGAGCCCACGTGGATGGACTCCAGGCCTTTGCAGAGGCGGGACTTGTCCAAAGGGTTTACAGGAGGCGCAGGTCCTCTGACAACTGGCTTTAATTCTGATATTTGAATTAATTCTGATAATTCAGAAAACGCGCCTTCAGCTTCTGGACCCTGTCCACAACGGTCGGGAGGTCTTCTCCTATCTTTTGTCGCATTCCACCTGGGCGGGGGGGGCCTCAGTGGGACCCTCCTCAAGTCATTGCCAGACTGATAACGCTAGGGCACTAACGGAATCTGGGGGGGGTGGCGTAGGGTAGCAGCATCTCGGCCTGCCTGCGTGTAGCACTCTTCCTTAAAGCGCCCCATCTTATGCACTGGCTGCTGGGGAGCACTGCTCGACAACGGGCTCTCCTGTCTGCAGTGGTGCAGGGCTGATGGATGGGCTCGCCCCTGGAGGATGGTGTCAGCCCATGGGCAGTTGGGCCCATCCTCAGCCACTGCCTTTTTTTTTTTAATTATTTTTTATTAGTGAAACACCATGAGGTACAGTTGTAGACTTCCAAATTTTTGTGCTTGGGTTTCGATTATACAGTGATCAAGTACCCATCCCCCCACCAGTGCCCATTCTCCACCACCAATGATCCCAGTATCCCTCCCACCCTCCGTCCCCCCAACCTCCCCATCCCTCCCTGCCTCTGTGGCAGGGCATTCCCCTTTGTTCTCGCTCTCCTTTTGGGTGCTGTGGTTTACAAAAGAGGAATTGAATGGCAATCATGTTCGGTCTACTTTCGGCATGCTTCTTCCATCCTGGGCAGATCTTCCCAATAGCCACTGCCTTTTTATTTATTTATTTTGCTTTTTGGGTCACACCTGGCGATGCACAGGGGTTACTCCTGGCTCTGCACTCAGGAGTTACTCCTGGCGGTGCTCAGGGGACCATATGGGATGCTGGGAATTGAACCCGGGTCGGCTGCGTGCAAGACAAACGCCCTACCCACTGTGCTCTCTCTCCAGCCCTGCCACTGCCTTTTTAAAACTCTTTTAAGTCCCCAGGTTCCCAAGGAATATACCAAACTGCAAGTTGAGCACCAACCCCCCTGGACTGAGATTGACCGGAAAAGGCCCAGAGGGGTCTCTGGTAATCCTTCTGCAGTCTCGAGTCATAAAAAGAAGCAGAAGCTTCTTCTGGAGGGGCAGTGGGGCGAGAGGAGTCAGGTCTGTCTCCCCCCAAAATCTCCTCAGCTATTCCATCCTCTATATCCCGATCAGTGAGGGGCGACCCTGAAACGGCTGCCTGCCTAGTACCAGGAGAGACACACTCTCTCTCCTCCTAGAAGTGTGCCTTTAAGGCTGCCCCTGCCACATACAAACCTGGCGGGGGCCCCTTGCCTGTCCTTTCGGCCCGTTCTGCAACAAGCTTTTCTACCTGGTCCCAGGTCTCCCACGAGGAGAGGTCCTCAGTAGTAACCCAAGGAGCCACGTCAAGAATAGCGCTCCAGATCTTAGATGCCCTATCAGAAAATGCCAGCCCCTGGCTTTTTAGCAGATCAAGCTTTCAGACCTAGGTGAGGCAACTTCTGAATGGAGCTGCCAATGATATTTAGTGGGGTTGAGACAGTCAGGAGGGCTGGAGCGATAGCACAGCGGTTAGGGCGTTTGCCTTGCACCCGGCCGACCTGGGTTCGATTCCCATCATCCCATATGGTCCCCTGAGCACCGCCAGGGGTAATTCCTGAGTGCAGAGCCAGGAGTAACCCCTGTGCATTGCCGGGTGTGACCCAAAAAGAGAAAAAAAAAAGAATCAGGAGAGATGATGGTTTTGCTAAGGATCACCGAGGCAGAGGAAAGATACTGAGGTAGAAAAAACACAGCAAGAATGAGGCAAGACACCAAAAAGAGAAAAGGGTAGATGCTAGGCACCCCATGGGCGGGGGGAGAAGCAAAAACAAAAGTGGGACCTGATGGAAACAGTCCTGTCTCAAGGAGGACTCTTCTGATCGTTCACCTGTCAAGGAGCTCATTCCCCTACCTGAATTACCAGCCGGGTATCTCCGATGCAGTCGCCTATTTTACTGCATGGATTCGAGGCGACGGGGGGGGGGGGGGGTCACACCTTGCTCCAGTGATGTCTACGCTGTTCACGTCCACACTGTCCCTGTTTGGGCGCCAGCTGTCGGGGTCCTGGCCAGTCGACCCCGGCACACTGGAGTACGATCCCCCTGGTTGCTGGACTTACTCCCTATAGGAGAGGGAGTGGGAAGGGGAGAAGCCTCTGCCCTGGCCCTCCGCACACAATGGATTCCCACTGCCACTGAGAAAGAACCACGCGGGGGGGAAAGCTGGTGGTGGTCAAGCAGCAATCCGTTCATTAGCGCTCACATAGGGGGTTTTATACATCCATTTCAGGGGGCAATCCACGTGTATCACCTTTACCTGGTCAGGCTTAGTACAGATGTTAGTTAATGGTTTTACATCTCCCACTCTCAGGGCCAGGTGTATCAGCTCAGGCAGATGGGAACTATTACATCCCTCATCCTCATCCTCAACCAGAGTTGCCTACATGTGTGGAGTGTTGGAGCAAGCCCCTGGGCCCCTGTAAACAGGGCCGGCTCTTGCTTTCAGGGGCAGGGGATTTAGTCAAAGTCTCAGGCCAGCTAATGAGAGAGACCCCAACACTGTGCAGGCCTACCTATACAGAATTACCATGGCTGGAATAGTCCAGAAGGAGGGAGGGGGGCGGGCATTGGGAAAGGAAGCAACACCAGGATGGAGAAGCAGGTGACACACAGGAACACAGGCTCCTCAAGACTGCCCACTGGGGCTGGAGCGATAGTCCAGCGGGTAGGGCGTTTGCCTTGCACGCAGCCGGCCCGGGTTCCATTCCCAGCATCCCATATGATTCCCTGAGCACCGCCAGGAGTAATTCCTGAGTGCGGAGCCTGGAGTAAACCCTGAGCTTCGCCAGGTGTGACCCCCCCCCAAAAAAAAGACTGCCCCATAGGTCGGTGCCAGTCAATTCCCTGTTTGTCTGGGGGTGTCAGGGGTCATCCCTGGCAGGCTCGTGCTGAGGATTGAACCTGGGTTGGCTGCGTGCAAGGCAAACACCCTCTTGTGCCGTGTTCTTGGTCTGGCCCAATTTCCTCCTCTAGGTGTCCTTTGGCTTTGGGTCACAGCCAGATGTGCTCAGGGGCCATTTCAAACCCTGTGTTTGAGCCTGGGGCACTGCAGGTGAAACCCGTGTGCCACTTCTGCACCCTCTCCCCTACATGCTTTGAATCAAGACAGACCTGAACATTTTTGTAGAGAACCGGAAGCTACAAATCAAGCACTGGCGGGTTTTGAAAGTGACAGGGCAAGGAGCCAAGAAGGAAGAACTCTCCCAGCCTGTTTCAAGTGCTCCCCAGACCCAGCACACTGGGGGTTTCCAGGAACAAGGGGGAGCCCCCCCTAACCCCGCTCCCTGCCTGGGCACTGGGTGAGGCACAGCCTGCGGCGTCCTCCGCACCCTCTCGTGTCTCCCTCGAAGCGCCCAGCATCCGCCCCCACGGGCCTCAGGTGAGGACGGATCATGTCCCCGTCACAGCTGGGCAGGCTCAGGGTCAGGTGGTTAATCTGGGTTCCTGCCACGCCCGGGTTTCCAGGGCGCACGGTGCCCCGAAGACTAGCGTGTAGGACATTTCCCCTCTTCCCTGGTGTTTTGCAAGAAAGTGAGAAATCCGCGAAGCTTTTCTTCTGCTTGTGGGCTCGGGCTCGCCCCCAGACACGGCTGGAGAGGTGAGAGCAGGAGCAACCGCAGTGTCTACGTGTGCACGTGTGTGTGTGTGTTTGTGTGTGCCTGTGGGTGCCACGTCTGTGCGCACGCGCAGTTGTCTCTGTGTGCACACGTGTGCCTGCGTGTCTTTGTGCACGTTCGAGCTCATGGGTGCCGTGTCTGCGTGTCAGTGTTTCCATGCATGTCTGTGTGTGCGCATCGTATGCACGCGTCGTATTTGCCCGTGTACACGTGTGCATGCACCGTGTCCACGCCGTGTGTGCATGGGTCGGCGCATGTGCTGCCGCCCCGCACTTCTGCACAGGCTGCCTGTGCCGGCTGGCACCAGCAGAGAGACTGACAGTCCGGCAGGAGCAGGACCCTGGCCGCCGTGTCCCCTGCCACCATGTCCTCATTTCCGGTGCCAAGCATTTCTCCCAAAGCAGGCCATCTCGGCTCTGAGGGTCCCCCAGGGCCCCCTTTGAAGGAGTTTGGAGGGCAGAGACCCTACTGCAGCCTCCACACTCCCACCCTGCTCCATGACCTCTGCCAGCCACTTTGGGGTCTCCAGGAATGGCCGGGCCTGGGACCGCCGAAAGGCCTGCTTCCTCATGTCACGGCTCTGCCTCTGGCTCCCTGGCCCTGTCCTACCCTCATGGGAGAGACGCCGAGTGTCCCCCTGGGCCCGCTCAGTGTCCAGCAGTCGGTCCCCTTCTCCAGCTCTGCCTGGGTCCTCGGTGGCTACTGTGAGTGGCCCCTGGGGTCGTTGCTGAACTTCAGCGGAACCCAGGACACCACCCCCCCTCCCCCCGCCCTGCCCTGGGCCTTCCTCCTTCCTTTCCCCAGATACTGTCCCGGGGGCCACTGGGCAGTGTGGACACAGCAAATCACCCACTTGTCCCCGTGTCAGGCAGGCTCCATTTCGCAGCCTCCTGGAAAGCCCCCCAGGTATCCCTCCCAGAGGTACACACAGCTCCCAACCAAGCCGACACCCGTGGCCACTGCCCACTGCTTTATTGGCTCCGTGCTGCCCCGTCACACACCGTGGCTTGGGATCGCCAAGACCAAGAGGCGAGCAGGGCTGTCCCTCCCAGGACAGGGGTGAGTCCTGGGCACCCCTGGGCAGCACGCGGGGACCCTGGCCTCCCAGCTGGGCTACCCATAGCCCCCAGCTTCCAGCTCATTGTCTCTAGGTCTGGGAGGGGCGAGGTGCAGCCCCCGGGCTGGGTCTGACTGCATCCATGGCAGGGACGGTCCACATCGGGGTGAGGACAGGGGCGAGGACAGGCCCTTTCACCCTGCAGAGCCAGCCAGACGTCCTGCTGGGCTGCGGCCCGAGCTGGGGATGCCCCACAAAGGGGCATGGTGTGCCGCAAACGCAGCCACTGGGTCCGATCGATCGATCAATCGGAGGCCGTGCGCGGCTCAGAGCTTGGCCCGGGGATGGTCCTGCAGCAGCGCGCGCATGTCCAGCAGCGCCTGCTCCAGCTGCTGCGCCAGGCGGCTGGCGCTGGTCTCGGCGCAGCTGTTGTAGGCCGACACGGAGAAGTTGACGTGGGTCTCCCGGGGGTTGTAACAGACGCCGTAACCGTCTGGGACCACGGGCCCGAAGAACATGACGCAGTCCGTCTTGGAAGGGACCTGGGGACCGTGCAGACACGGGCTCTCGTCCCCGGCACGGTGGGCGCCCACCGCCTCCCCCCGGCGGCCGAGCCCGATGCCCCCGCGGCTGATATCCCAGGGGCCACAGCCGGCACCGCAGAGGGCTGACTCCTGGCTTTGTGCTCTGGGGATCGCTCCTGGCGGTGCTCAGGGGAGCATATGGGGTGCCGGGGATTGAACCCAGGGTGGCTGCAAACGAGGCCAGCGCCCTCACCACTGTCCTGTCGCTCTGGCCCCTCTCCAGGGGGCTTTAAGATGCCTCTTCCTGACCCCCCAGCACTCCCCCCAACCCAAAACTGTCCCGGTTCAGTTGCGGGAGGATCCCGGGGTGCAGGCCAGGGGCCCGTCTGCCGTGTGGGGCCTCAGCTGATGCTGTCGTGTCTGAATGGAACCGGTTCCCCCCAGTGCAGTTCTGGCTCCCTGGGGGCGCCCTGAGCTGCGGCAAGGGCCCACTTGGCTCACCCGGCTCTAGCGGCTGGGGCAGGGGCATGTGTGAGCCCCCCCCGCACCCCCCTGCCACGGAGGCTGCCCTGCGTCCTGCCCTGCCCCCGCCACCTGGCCTGCGAGGCCCGGGCAGCGCACCTGGCTGGTGGAGAGGTTGAAGTGCATGGCGATGGCGTAGGACGTGTCCATGAAGAGGTCCGGCAGGCTCACCAGGTCCTCCACGGCCTGCAGCTTCAGGCCCAGCAGGTGGCGGTCGAAGGCCTCTCCGCGGATGGCCTGGGGGCGGGAGTGAGTGTCAGGGGTGGCAGCTGGGAAGGGGGGTGTCCCGGGTGGCCTGCACTTCCTGTGGTGCCCGTGGTGCAGACACCCCCGCCCCTCCGTGTCCAAGCAGGAAAACCCCGTGGACAGGGATGGGGACCCCGACCCAGGAGAGGGCACAGGGCTGATGAAGAGTGCGGCCTGGAGCCAAACTGGACAGTTGCCAGGGCTGGAGCGATAGCACAGCGGGTAGGGCATTTGCCTCGCACACGGCCGACCCAGGTTCGATTCCCAGCATCCCATAGGGTTTCCTGAGCACTACCAGGAGTAACTCCTGAGTGCAGAGCCAGGAGTAACCCCTGAGTGTCGCCAGGTGTGACCCAAAAAATGCCAAAAAAAAAAAGTTCTCATATTGGACAGTTGCCAAGGCCCCGCAGCGGGGGGGGGGTGGGGGCGTGTGGAGAACTACATGGGCACCCAGGCTGGCACCCTGACATCCTGGGCCCCTGATGGAGGCTCATGTGCCACTGCCCCTGCCAGGGGAATATGGCACCGGTCAGGCCAAGTGGTCAGGATGCCTGGTGAGGGGCTGGGGGCGGGGCGCTGCTCACCCGGTCTGTGTAGGCGCGGTGAGCCTGCACCGCCTTCCGCAGGAGTTCCACCTTCTGCGGCTCCTGGTGGCAGAGCAGAGGGGTTGGGCTCTGTCCCGGCCCCCCACGGGACCGCGGCTAAGCTGGCCTCTCTCTGGTGAACACTGTGGTCACGGCGGGTCCCGGAGGTGCCACCCCGCACACGTCTCCCTCTTCTCTCTGGCTGCCGGGGACTCGCACCTCCGAACGTGGCTCCATTGTCTGGGACCCCCTCCCCCCCACACCCTGCACCTGGCAGTCCAGGCCCTGTCCCTTTGTGCCCTCCCTGGGCTGTGAGCGGGTGGGGTGAGTGGAAGGGACAGGCCGAGCCCGCGGGCCACTCACCGTCACGCTGGTGTCATCCATGGCCTGGACGAAGGCCAGCGAGTCCATGGAGGCCGAGCGGATGGTGTCGGTGCGGCCCAGGTGGAACATGCGCAGGGATGCGCTCTCGTAGGTGGCGCAGGCGTGCCCGTAGATCCTGCGTGGGAGGGGGGCTTGAACCTGAGGGACCCCGCCTCCTCCCGCCCCCAGGGCCCCGCGGGGCGCACACCTGTAGTAGGCCAGCTGCAGCGCCATCTGGATGAAGGAGTCGGGGCTCAGGTTCTGGGACTTGGGGAAATCTTTGCCGAAGTGGGGGAAGACCAGCATGGTGATGTCCAGGTCCTGGATCATGCTGGGGGCACAGGGGTGGGGGTCAGCCCCAAAGCTGCCGGCACCAAGACAGACCCCGGAAGGAGCTGCCTGGCCAGGGTCCCACACCGGGGCCCCATGCCCCTGTCGCCAGGCCCCATCTCCCCCACATACTGCGCCCCTCATGTCCCACGCACCCTAAGCCCTGCGTCCTCCCACGGCCCCTGCCCCCATCCCCCATGCCCTTCACTCCCTGCGGCGCCCCCGCCAGGCCCCTTGCTTTCCCCACACCCTGCGTCCCCTCGCCCCATGCCCAGGCTCACATGCTGAGGTTCTGCTTTGCCTTCTCGATCTCGTTCTTGATCTCGGGGGTGATGTTGAAGCGCAGTTTCTTGGGCATAGGGAGGGGTACCATGGCTGACGGCCCCTGATCGGGCTTCTTCCTGCGGGGCGTGGGGGGACGGGGCGACGCGGGCTCAGGCTGATGGGGTCCAGGGCCGGAGCCCACTCCAGGGATTGGGGTGGGGACCCCCAACGCTGGAGGGCGCCGGCCTGGTCAGCCCCGGGCAGCATCCTCTCGAGACAAGCACCTGCGCGGGCAGGGGCGTGGCCAGAGATGGGGCGTGGCCATGCTCGGGGCATGGCCAAAGTGGGGCGGGACCAGGATTGGGGCGGGCTCAAAGGCAGGGGCGTGGCCAGGGCTGGGGGCGGGGTCGAAGGCAGGGGCGGGGCCGAGAGCGGGGTGGGCGGAGCGGGACCCACGCTAGTGGCGTGGCTGTGCCCGCAGAGGTGGGGCCCCAACCCCAGACCCCACGTCCTTGTCAAGCATCCCCCCCCACCCCCCAGCGGCCCTGTCTTCAGCAGTACACGCACGTGAACTCCATGACGTGGTCCACGAGGGAGATGATGGGGGGGCCCTCGGCGGCTGCGTGCTCGTAGACCAGCCCGCAGGAGCCGTCCTCGGCCACGATGAACTGTCGGGGCAGGGGGTCCCCGGGGCCGGGGCTCCGCGTCAGCGCCGCGTGTCTGGCCCAGCACGCAGCACTGGGCGCTCGGAGCCACCCTCCCGCCACCCCCCACCGAGGTGCACGGCCCCGGGGCGGGGTGGGGGGTGGTGGTGGTGGTGGCCGGAGCCGGACATCCGTCCGTGGGGGGGGGGAGCGGGCAGCGGCTTCCCGGAGGTAATGACGGGCCTGCCCGCTAATTACAGCCGCCCACCGGGGGCTGCTGCCGCGGCTTCGCACGCGGCGGCTGCGTCTCACCTGCAGCGTCTTGTCGAACCAGCGGTTGCCGCTGTTGAGCTGCCCGCCGCCCCCGTGCAGCATCTGCCCGGCCACGTGGCTGCGGTAGGCGGCGTCCGAGACGCGGGGCATGGGCGCGTCCAGGCACACGGTGAAGATGCTCTGCTGGATGCAGCGCACCGAGTCCCGGTTCACCTTATCTGGGGGCGCAGCGGGCGTCAGACCGTCAGCAGCACCCCTGCCCGCTCTGGGGGTGCGGGCGAGAACCCCAGGGCAGGGGATGGGGGGGAGGAGGGGCGGCGCACCTTTGATGAGGATGTTGTAGGCGCTGGCCCAGGAGTTGCGGTGGTTGGACGTGAGGATGCCCACGGGCTCCTTGTTGGCCTGCAGGGAGGAGTTCCAGATCTTCTCCAGCTGCACGAAGAGCTGCTGGGCCGTTAGAGGGGTTCCGTCGCTGTGGTACACATCCAGTTGGAAAAACTGAGGGGCCGAGGAGAATGCGCCAGGGTCAAGGCAGCGCCCGGGATCCTCCCCAGTGCCCAGAGCACTGAGCCGGGTAGACCCCTGAGCACTGGGGAGGGGGTGGAGGTGGGGGTCACGGGCCAGGCCTGGAGGGGGGCCCAGGAGGAGAGGCGCGGGCACCCACTTGGTAGTTGTGCACCACGGTGATGTGAGTGGGCGGCTTCTTGGCACGGCCGAAGTTCACCACGGAGTCCTGCTTGGGGCCCGGCACGCGGCAGGACGACAGGATCTGGTAGTACTGATTCATGCACAGGGGCTTGCCCCCCAGGTATTCCACCGGCAGAGTCTCGCTGCGGGCCAGAGGGCTGGTGAGTGGGGCCAGGGGGACCCTTCCTCTATGGGAGCGGGGAGTGGACACAGCACCCCGACAGGTCCCCCTCGGGCCTCCAGGGCCCCCTCCCGGGTGGGGGCATGCCACCACCCGGAGATCTGGGGCCTAGAGAGAGGGGACAAGGGGTCAGGGGGTACCCACCCCGCCACCCGCCAAGCACCGCCAGGGGTCATGCCCGGAGCTCCTGGTGTGACGCCAAAGGAACAGTCAGTGAGAACAGCAGTGTGGGGTGACCCAGCCCCCCAGCCCCAGCAGAGGACACCAGGAAGTGCCCACAGCTGGGGGTGGGGCAGGGCCAGGATGTGGGGGGAGTTGGTTGGGGGAGGGGGCACTCACTTGTCAATCATGAACTTGAAATCCAGAACCCCCTCAATGATTTTGGCAGCAAACCTGAGGGTGCAATGAGAGAAGAGGGGCCTGATGGGAGCTGGGGGCAGGGGAGGGCTGGCCCCCCCAGCAGCCTGCCACCCCCAGGTGCCACCAACTCTCTCACCTGGGTGGTCTAAGGGGCGGGTGAGCCCGACCTAGACCTGGAGCCTCGAAGGAACCCCCCCGCCCCGCCCACTCTCAGGGCCCCGGGCCTGGGGTCTCTCCTGCATGGGTACGGGGCTTCCCTTAACCATCCCACATGACGCCAGGAGGGCACCAGGGCCCCCCAGATTCCTCAAGAGAAGCAGGTGGCGGCGGCAGCGTGGCCTGGGCAGGAAAGCCGGACTCTGGGTATTTATTTATATCCCTAGTTCGACTGGAACAGAGGCCAGGGCAAGGGCCAAATGTGGAAAAGGGAAGTGTGTACAGAGATCGCCTGAGGCCAGAGGGCAGCTGGGAGCGGCCGGCAGGGAGGGGGCGAGTCCTGGGGGGGGGGGGGGGTTGCCGCCGCTTGGCTGCTGGGGAGACTGAGCCGCCCCCCCAGACAGGGCCAGCCCAGCAGTTCTTGGTCAGCCTCAGTTTTCCCGCCTGCCCCTTGCTGAGGCGGGCTCTGGGGGCAGTGGGGGGGGGGGTCCCGCCTCTCCTGGGGGCACTCACCACAGCTGTCCCTGCAGGTCCACGAAGTCCTGCTTGGGCAGCAGCAGGCCGGGGTTGGAGTAGATGACCACGGGCTGGCGGTACTGGAGGTAGGCCGTCTGCAGCCACCAGTCGGACAGCTGTGGGAGAGCCAAGCCGTGGTGAGGGGCTGCCAGACCCCCTCGCCCCCCGCAGACCACCCTCCCACACTGGGTCGCGGGCGCCTGGCCGCTCACCTTCCCAGGTTATCGCTTGCCCTTGGAAATGGGCCCATGAACATTATGAGAAGGAAGAGGGCAAGGCAAGGAGGTGAGAGGAGAAAGGAGTGGAAGGTCAGAGCATTGACGTGTGTGGCCTGGGGCTTGGTGGCCAGAGTGGACAGAGGGGCTGGAGAGAGGGGAAGGACGGGGGAGGGGTGTCCCGGGAGGAGGGGTGGAGAGCTGGGGACCCCAGCCTCAGGCCTCAGTGGAGCTGGTGACCCCACAGGGTGTGGGTACCCCAGAGGTCGAGCAGGGAGTGAGGGGTACAGGACATGGTGTCCGGCAGCGCTGCTGGCCTAGGTGGGCACACATGGGCACGGAGCAGGCGGCTCGGCCGCACCTCTCTCCTGGGGGTCTCCCTACGCCCCACGTCTGTCCCCGGGGGCCCTGGCTGGGGGTGAGGGGGGGTACTCTCAGGCCCCAGGGCGCAGATGGTCATGGGGACCTCGGGGGCCTCATCTGTGTGTCCAGAAGGGACAGACCACGCTCTCCCTGGAGATAGCTGGGCGGCCCCGCACCCCGGGGACCCTTCCTGCGTGTGGGCACTGCCCTGAGAACCTGCCGGGAGTGAGGCAGCCCCTGAGAGGCCTCAGGCAGAAGTCGGGGCTCCTTGTGCTTAGGAGCGTGGGGGGCTGCTTGTCTGCAGGGTCTCTGAGCACCTCACGGGCCACCCCCAGGCCGGCGTGAACGCCAAGTCCCCCTTGACTCAGAACCCAGGTTTATTTATTATTTTTATTTATTTATTTACTTATTTTGCTTTTTGGGTCACACCTGGCATTGCACAGGGGTTATTCCTGGCTCTTGCACTCAGGAATTACTCCTGGCAGTGCTCGGGGGACTCTATGGGATGTTGGGACTTGAACCCGGGTCGGCCGCGTGCAAGGCAAACGCCCTCCCCGCTGTGCTATCGCTCCAGCCCCCTGGGTTTATTTCGTGTTTGTTGGGGGCCCACATTCGGCAGTGTTCAGGGCTGACTCCTGGCTCTGTGCTCAGGGATCACTCCTGGCAGCGTGGGGTACCGTATCGGGTGCTGGAGAAGAGACCCGGGCTGGCCGCGTGCAAGGCCAGTGCGTTCAGCCCTGTTCTACCTCTCCAGGCCCCGGTTCAATCCTGGGTTCGATCCCCGGGGTGGCCTGTTTCCCACACTCTGCCCCTTCCTCACTCACCCTATCACCTCAGAGTGACTCTGCAGCCCCTTAGGTCAGGGCTGCCCCCCAACTTCCTTACATCCAACCCGGATTCGATCCCCAGCATCCCATGAGGTTCCCGGAGCGACAGTACAGACAGTACAGACGGGAGGGTGCTTGGCTTGCACAAGGACCGTCTGGGTTAGATCCCTGCCAGCCCTTAAGGCCCCCCCAGGCACCGCCGGGAGTAAGCCCTGAGCACACCCAGAGGAGGCTGCGTTCTGCCTGATGTGTCCCAAAACAAACAAAAAAAACAGCACAGAACAGCAACAAAAACAGAACGAGCAGAAAGGCCTGGCGAGCTCAGGTCAATCCTGCTCTGTGAAAGCCCCTAGGCTTGGTCCTCCTGATCCAGAACAGAAAACAATACAATAAAACAAGGCGCTGGCGAGAGGATCTACGGTGAAGGCGCCTGCCTTGCACAAGGTCGACCTAGGTTGGACCAACAGAGCCAGGAGTTCGCCTTGAGCACCATTAGGTGAGCACCACACAGCTGACCTAGGTTCAATCCTGGGTTCGATCCCCGGCATCCCGTATGGGTCCCCGAGCACCGCCAGGAGTCATTCCTGAGTGCAGAGCCAGGAGGAATCCCTGAGCACGGCTGGGTGTGGCATCAAACCAAACCAACCCAAACCAAGCAAAGCAAAAAGTAAAGCCAAAAAAAAAAAAACCCTCAAGGAGGGGCTGGAGCTACAGCACAGCGGGGAGGGCATTTGCCTTACACGCGGCCAACCCAGGTTCGATCCCCAGCATCCCATAGGGTCCCCTGAGCACCGCCAGGGGTAATTCCTGAGTGCAGAGCCAGGAGGAACCCCTGTGCATTGCCAGGTATGACCCAAAAAGCCAAAAAAAAAAAAAAAACCCACGAGTTTTCAGATGCTGGAGGCCAAAGGGATGCCGGTGTGGAAGGAAAAGCTATCCCCTGGGGTGTGCGGGCAATTATAGCAGGACACCAGGGCCCCGTGCGGGCACCTCCTGCCTCCACCGTGTGCCCGCAGCCCGCCCTCCCGTCTCCTCGGGGTTGGCGTTAGGCGAGTGCCCGGAAACTGCAGGCACGTCGTGGCGGGTGCCGCACGGGAGACGTCAGCGGGCTCCACTCGATTTCTCGCGGCTGCTGCTGGCAGCTCCGCACGGGCACTTCCTGCCCACAGAGGCTCTCCCCACCCGCCCGGGGCGGCCCCAGGGGTGTCAGGAGGCTGTGGAGGCCTCGCTGCTGTCCTCGCCATTCCCCTGCCGGGGCCGCTGAGCTGTTGCCCTGAGGCCTGGAACATTCCAGATGGGGCCTCAAGGGGCCCGCATCAGACCCGAGGGTCTCTGCTGCCCCCTCCAGGGGAGCCAGATTCCCCTTCCCTCCCCCCTTTGGCAGACCCAGCCCCTCCGGGGCCCCTGGGCCCACTCACCCAGTTCTCTGACTTCTTGGCGCGGCGCTCCAGTCCCCTCTGTAGCCGCTCCCCGACGCCCCCCGAGGTCTGGAACTCCTCCACCAGCTGCTTGGTCTGGGCCCACTCCTCGTGGCTCACGATGGGCCGCAGGGCCTTGAGGTAGTGGTCCAGGGTCTGGCGCAGCGGGGGCACGGGCAGGCGGGGCAGGGCATCCTGGTGAGCCTGGAAGCGGCTGGGGGTCTTCATGAGGGAGGAGGGCTTGAGGAGGCCCGGGGGCCTCACCTGCAGGCAGCACAGCACCTTGTTCATGGTCTGGGTGTCACTTGGCCGGGCCCTGCCACCAGCCCGGGCACTTATGTGCCCATCCCTGAGCTGGGAGCCGGCCTCTTGGGTGGTGCCCGCCAGGCCTTCCAGCCCTCTAGCGGGAGGTGTGTCTGTCTCCGGGGAGGGCTGGGGGCGGGCTGGGGCCCCCTGCTGACCTGGGCAGCGCGTATGGGGATGGGGGGGGCGGACGGTACCTGGGTGGGCGGGCACCTCTCACCTGTCTGGCCTTTCTCACTCAGGGCCCCGGTGAGGCCCCAGCTCCGCCCCCCCAACCCAGCCCAGCTCCCCACCCCTCCCGCCTGGCCCGGTTGAGAAATGGAAAGGGAAGCGGAGACAAATCAGAGGAGCAGGGACATTGGTGGGGAGGGCTCTGCCGGCTGCTGGTGGCGGTCAGAGGCGGGACTACAGCCCGAGGGGGGGTTCGAGGAGGCCCCGGGGGCAGAGGGCGGGCAAGGAGGGGAGGCAGCGAGCCCTACCTGCTCCTTCTGCCTGTCCTCCGTCTCTGAGCCCTGTCTGTCTGTCTGTCTGCCTCGGGCTGGGGCGCTAAAAGCCTAACTGTGCTACCCAGGGCTGAGCGGAGCCCAGTAAGAGACCACCACTCGCCTGGGCTGCAAAGAAAAGACAAGAGGTTCAGTGGGCTGGTTCAGTGGCTGGTCAGCGGGGCCTGTGCGGACCCCGTGGCCGGGAGCCGAGTCGGGGGAGGCAGAGTAGCTCCCCCACAAACCACCCCCTCCCCTGCCCCCAGCCTCCAGGGGAACCCGGGGGTGGGAAGCCACCTAGGAAACCCTCCTGGCTTCCCAGCAGGGCCCGGTGCCAGGGAAGTGGGCCAAGAGTGATGAAGAAAATGTAACTGTGGTGTTTGACGAGGAAGGATCCTGGAGGTCAGAGGCCGCCAGCAGGAGCCAGGCTGGGGGGGGGGGGTTACATCACTGGAAAGGGGGGGGCAGAAGTGAACCCTCCCACCTCCCACCCCCCCTGGAGGAATCTGGTGATGTGTGCTCAGGGCCCTCCTCCCGCCTGTACCCAGACCCCTGGAGCCGAGGTCCATTCAGCCCCACACCCAGGGCTTTGGGGAGTGGACACGCATGAACCCAGGGCCAAGGGCGCTGCAGAGGGCCCAGGTTGGGTCTGAGTCCTGGTCCAGGAGACTGGTTGGCTCCCGGCCTATCTCTGCAGTGGGCCGGTGATCAGACCACCTGGCGGGTTCCTGGAGGGGCGCCCGCAAGGCGTGTGGGACAGAGACGAGAGCCTGAGTGTCCGCGGGCGGGGCCCAGGCGGACCCGAGGGTGCCTGGATGAGCCTTGGGACCAGCGGATGGAGCCCTCGGCCCTCCGGGCCCGCTGCTCTCCGGTCTCCACCTGCCTCTTGGCTCCCTCGCACACGCAAGGGGAGATGCGAGCAGAGATATATGCTCGAGCAAGCAGGGAAAGATCCAGATCAGAAGCTGATACCTGTAGCTGCAGGCTGCCCTGTGGAGTCGCGTCCAGATGGGCCGGGGCCGCTGGGGTCAGTTCTGTAACTTTCTCAGCAGCCCTAGCTCCGTGCCTCCACCCGGGTTTCCCAGCTAACCCCTCTCCCCAGCCTCCCCGGCTCCCACCAGGCCTGTGTGCTAAGCCCTAGGAGGCCAGCGCTCGGCGAGGAGCTGGCCAAGGAACTTGGGCTGGACGGTCAGCTCCCGCTGAGCGGCGGCATAACTGTGAGTCAGAGGCAGCGGGACACTGCTGCCCTCTCCCCTTCTTGGCTGGGACCCTGCCCGCAGCCAGGGCCTCCGTGTCCCTTCCAAAGAGCTGGACTTGAGAGGCACTGGTCCCGGGTCCCATCCTGCCCCTGACCTTGAGCCTCTCTGTCTCCGTCTCTGCAAAACTGGCAGGTGGGGTGCGGCGCGGGGGAGCCCACCCACAGAACCCACCTCCGCAGCTGGCGGCCTCGGCACCTCCTCGCCCCGGTTTCCCCCTCTTAGGGACAGCGGCGTGGCCCGCGCGCACTGTCGGCCCCGGTCCACGTCGTGTGTACTCACCACGGTCCTGGCCGCGAAGGCCAACATTTTCGGGCCTGCCCTCGGACGGCCGGTCCACTCCACCCCGCCCCCTGCGCGGGGCAAAGTCCTCAACGCTGCTGCTGTCGTTGTTGAGTCCTGGCCAGAGCCTCCGGGGAGGTCACCAAGTCACGGCCGCCAGCAGAGAGTGACCTGGCGACCACCCGGCCAGCCCGCCGCGGCCAGGCGGCCCCAGAGGAGGTGGACTATAGGGGCGGGGCCTCCCGCTAGCGGCCAGCCCGGGAGGATAGCCCGGGGCGCGGGGCGGGGCCAGGGCTGAATGTGGGCGGGGCCGCCTCTTCGGGGGCGTGTCCAAGGGGCGGGGCCGAGGCTGCAATTCGCTGATGGGAGATCCCCCCTCTAGGAGTGGTGCCCCGGAAGAGAATCCGGGCGGAGGCCGCCGTTCGGCTTGCCCTCTCCCACCTCCCCGCGATGCCTAAGTTGGGGGAGGCGGTAGTTTACACCCATCTCAGTCGCCCGGTGCCCTCGAGCTCGACTCTCAGGGTGACAGAAAAACATCATCCCGTGACCACAGGGCGGATGTGCTCCTGTCTCTCGGGCCCTCAGGGTCAGCGTCGCGCACCAAGACGACAGGTGGCTGCGCCCCGCACAAAGATGGCCGCCCCGCCCGCGCGCCGCCCCGCACAAGCATGGCGGCGGCTGCGCGCGCAGCGCCCGGAGGCCGTTGGCGGGGGGGGGTGGTGCCGTTGGCGCGCATGCGCGCCGGCGCCCCGCACCAACATGGCCGCCGCCGCCTCCCGGTGAGCGCGGCCGCCGCGCGCCGGCCGTTGCTGGGCATGCTCGCTGGGCGCCCCGCACCGACATGGCGGCCGTCTCCGCGGGGGTGACTCTGGTGCTCGGCGCTCGGTCCTAGCCGCCCGGCCCTGCTCCTTCCACAGCTCGCAGCGCGGGGAGGCGGGTGCCCGGGAGCCGCGGGCGTCCCGCAGCGACATGGCCGAGGGCGAGCGGCAGGCGCCGCCAGGTAGGGGGCGGGCCGGGCCGGGCCGGAGGAGCCGTGCGGGGCGGGGGTCCCCGGGACGAGCCGTGCGGGGCGGGGGTCCCGGGAGGCGGTGTGAGGGCGGGGGTCCCCGGGACGAGCCGTGCGGGGTGGGGGTCCCGGGAGGCGCCGTGTGGGCGGGGGGGGTCCCAGGAGGAGCCGAGCGGGCGGGGGTCCCGGGAGGAATCGTGCGGGGTGGGGGTCCCCGGGACGAGCCGTGCGGGGTAGGGGTCCCGGGAGGAGCCCTGCGGGGTGGGGGTCCCCGGGACGAGCCGTGCGGGGTAGGGGTCCCGGGAGGAGCCCTGCGGGGTGGGGGGTCCCGGGAGGAGCCGTGCGGGCCGGGTCAGAGGAGCGTGCGGGCGGGGGTCCCTGGAAGAGCGGTGCGGGGTGGGGGTCCCCGGGGCGCCTAACCCTGCGGGGTCGGGGGCGCGCCGACCTGGCCTGCCGGCTGCCCAGGCGGGGCGAGGAAAGGCCTGTGCCCGGCCCGGCTGGCCCGCGGGAGCCCCCCTACCCCTGCTCAGGCGGGGTGAGGGGTGCCCCGGCCCTGCCCACCCGGCCCCTCTCCCTTCTCGCACCCCCACCCCCTCCGGGAGGCCCGGCCCAGGAGTTTCAGTCTCGGAGCATTTATTGGGAGAAACCGCCCCAGGTCTTCCCGAACCATTAATTAAAAAGGCGAGTGTCGCTTTTGTCATCACCCGGGAGGGGCCTCGGTGGCCTCCTTTCGGCTCATCAGAAAGGACCAGGGAGGCCCCCCCCCCCCCCCCCCCCCGTTGGTGTCTTTTTTTAAATTATTATTTATTTTTATTTTGAGTCACACCCAGCAGTGCTCAGGGCTTGCCCCTGGCTCTGCGCTCAGGGATCACACCTAGAGGGGCTCAGTGGACCGGATGGGGTGCTGGGGTGGAGCCCTGGTAGGCCATGTGCAAGCCAAAGAGCCCCTCCCCACTGTACTATCGTTGGGGGGGGGCTCCTGTGAAGGAAGGGCTATTCTTCAATCTCCCCGCTGTCCAGGGCCCCCAGCCAAGGACAGATCTTTGATCACTTACAGTCCCCAGGGAGCAAATGGGTCACCCTCCCACAGCCTAGGGTTTGAAAGTGCAGGAGAGTCCCTAGTGCTGAGTATTTTGGGGTCCTGGGGAGGGTCCCAGCTAGGCACCTAGGTAAAGCTCCGAAGAGCCATCCTCCCCGAGACCCTCAAGACCCCCCCCTTGAAATAAATGAACAAAGAGCTGGAAATGTAGCGTCTCCCAACCCATTTGGAAGTCACTTTCTGCACAGGCGCCCAGAGGTGCGCTGGTGGCTGGTACGGGGAGATAGCTTGGTAACCGGAACGTCAGGGGGACGCACAGCTAAAACACAGGGGTTCGGCTCCCGGAGGTTGTCAGCGGCCAGGAAGGTGGGCGATGCTTGAGGCAAGGGCTTGGGGTCACAGGGAGGGAATCGGAGCACAGTGGCGGAAACTCGGGTCTCTGAGGTTACAGAGCTGGACCCCTGGGCGTCCTCTCTCAGCCTGTTTTCTTTTTCTTTTCTGGTTTTCTGTTTGTTTGGGGGCCACACCGGTGGTGCTCAAGGGTTACTCCTGGCTCCACACTCAGCAATTCTGCTGGTGTTGAATGGGGGACCGCGTGGGATGCTGGGGATCAAACCCCAGTCCCCCTCCCTGCGGTGCTATCAGCCCGGCCCCTCAGCCTGCTCGCTTTATCTCTGCCCAGTGCCGTGGCAGGCCTGTGTGCTGGTTGCCTCCTGGCCGAGTCCAAGCCTGGAGCGTGGGGGTTGTAGAGAAATGCTGATGGCAGACAGAGATAGTGGAGGGGAGGGCCTTGCCAGGCACACCGCAGACCCGGGTTTCATCCCCCCTCATCCCCCCCTCCAGCATCCCATGTAGTCCTCTGGGCCCTGCCACAAGCGATCCCTGAGTGCAGAGCCAGGGGTAGCCCCTAAGCACTGCCAGGTATGTCCACCACCCAAAATAAGAGACGGGGCTGTTGCTACTAACGGCCGTGACCCGACAGGTCACTGCAGCTCCTCCAGCTATCCCTGCTCAGGGCCTCTGGAGAGTGCTGACCAGTCCTGATGTCGTTCCCATATTCCTGTCCCCTCGCCTGATGTGTTTTAAGCTGGCTCAGGTGAGTCCAGTCTGCGAGCGCCTTGGGACCAGCTCCCAAGTGGGAGATGACACCCCACACTCTTCAGGGGGTTTTGTTTTGTTTTTGTTTGGGGGGCCACTCTTGGCAGTGCTCAGGGCTGACCCCTGATTCTGACCCAGGGATCACTCCCGGTGGAGCTATGTGGGGTGCCAGGAATCAAACCCAGATTGGCAGCAAGCGAGGTCAGCACCCACCCCGCGATTCTATCGCTCTGGTCCTCCCAGGAGTTCTCAGGACGGTCTAAGTCCACCCTTACTCGGGGGTCGAAGAGGCGCCCCCCTGCCCTGTGGCAGCCTTGTCACTTGTACCCGGCTGGAGTTGGGAGGCTGATGGCTTTGCTTAGGGATTGTGGGTGGTGGCGGAGTATCTGCCCCGGGCCGCGGGAAAGCACGCGGCCCCCGGCTTCCAGGAGGGCTCTGTCCCCCGACAGTTGCTTCTTTGGCTGGTGGAGCCTGTTTTCCCGGACAAGCAATGCGCTTAGGTTAGGGGCCTGACCCACAAAGCTTTTATTTAGTATCCTGCAGGAGCAATTGGCTAATAGCAGGGGCCTTGAGTGGGCCTTCTGCGGGCGGGGCCCCAGCGCCAGAGGGACGAGGAGCTTGTTTCCCGGCTCTTGGGCGGGGGGTGGCTTGGGAATCTGGCAGAGGCTCCCCTCGGCGCTCTCAGGCCCTCTGTCCTGACCCTCCAGGCCGTGGGCAGCTCCCTGGGCAGCCCTGGACCCGCAGCGTCATGGGTTCCCGAACGTCTGCATCTGTCCACGTAGCTGATGTCAGCAGGGCACTGCGGGACGGGACATTCTCTGACAGTGACTGATGTCTGGATGAATCAGAGCCGGAGCACAGCACCAGGCCAACCCCCAGGGGCTCGAATTTTGATTGTTGTTCGGCTGTCAGAAAGCAGTAACCATCAGCCCAGGGTTTCTGCAGCAAAACGTAAATTGCTGATGAAGTCAGACTCTTCCCCACCACTCTCCCCCCAAACCTGTCACAGCCTGCAGTTTAGGGTTAAGCTTTGTGCCTTCTGTGCTGCTGCAGAAGACACTGAAACGCTGTGAGGAGTCGGGGCCGGAAAGAGAGGACACCAGGCAGGACGCTCGCTTGCACAAGGCCGAACGGGGTTGGATCCCCCGCCCCACATAGCGTCCCGGAGCCCTGCCAGGAGCGATCCCTGGGTGTGGAGCCAGGAGGAAGGCCTAGCACCTCTCAGTTGTGGCCCCCAAACAAACAACTTGAGGTATTGGGGCCAGAGAGAGTCCAGTGGGTAGGACACTTGTCTGGCACGTGGCCGATCTGGGTTTGATCCCCGGCACCCCCAGCCCTCCAGGAGTGATCCCTGAGTGTGGCCCAAGCTTGAGGTGTTTCAGAACTTCTAATTTATTTCATTTTATTTATTTATTTTTTGCTTTTTGGGTCGCACCTGACGATGCACAGGGGTTACTCCTGGCTCTGCACTCAGGAATTACTCCTGGCGGTGCTCAGGGGACCATATGGGTTGCTGGGAATTGAACCTGGGTTGGCCACGTGCAAGGCAAATACCCTGCCAGCAGTGCTATCGCTCCAGCCCCAGAACTTCTGGCTTTTTTTAAAATTTAATTTTATTTTTGCCTTTTGGGTCACACCCGGCGATGCTCAGGGGTCCTCCTGGCTCTGCACTCAGGAATCACTCTTGACAGTGCTCAGGGGACCCTATGGGATGCCGGGGATTGAACCTGGCCGGCCATGTGAAAGGCAAACGCCCTCCCTGCTGGACTATTGCTCTGGCCCTAGAACCTCTGAATTCTGACTGAAAGATGGAATGTCCACGTTTTGGTGTTAAGGGTTTTTTTTTTCCTTTTTCTTCTTTTGCCACACCCAGCAGTGCTCAGAGTTTACTCATGGCTCTGTGCTTGGGATTTACTGCTGGCGGGCTCGGGAGCACTCTACGGGGTGTCAGGCGTCAAACCCAAGTGCCCCTGCCTGCCACCTGTCACTGCCTGTGGTGATGGGCATGTCTCTGGCTAGGGGACCCCTCGCTGGATTGTCGGCCCGGCCGCGTGTTCCTCTCCCGCAGCTCCTGGAGAGAGAAGCGCCACTCGCGACGTGTTTACTCTGGCCCAAGAGCTGTGTCTGTTTGTTTGTTTGGGGGCCATTCCTGTTCCCCGGGGTGCAGGGTAGTGCTGTGCTTGGAAGGCCAAAGTGTGCCCTGAAAGCGCTCTGCCCCTTGAGCCATCTAGCCCTGCGCTAGCTTCTCATCAAAATACATCACTTAGAAAGTGTAAGCTCCCCAGGGGCTGGAGCAATAGCACAGCAGGCAGGGCGTTTGCCTTGCACGCGACTGACCCAGGTTCGAGTCCCAGCACCCCATGTGGTCCCCTGAGCACCACCAGGAGTAATTCCTGACTGCAGAGCCAGGAGGAACCCCTGTGTATCGCCAGGTGTGACCCAAAAAGCAAAAAAAAAAAAGGGGGGGGGCGTAAGCTCCCGAGCTGAAGAGATGGTGCCTGGGTCCAGGCCCTTGCCTTACAGCACAGCTGTCGTCTGTTTGGTGCCCTGCACCTCCAGGGTTTCTCCTGAGCACAGAGCCAGAAATAGCCCAATGGGGTGTCCAACCCGCCCCGATCTCCCTCCCTCAAGTAAAGGGGAAGTTCGAAGAAATCTTAACTGTTTTGTTTTCATTTGGGGGCCACACCCAAGGTGTTCTCCCCTGGCTGGCTCAGGGTGCCAGATGGGGTGCCAGGGATGGACCCAGGTCAGCTGTGTGCAAGGCAAACGCCCTCCTCACTGCTTCATCTCTCTGGCCCCTCAGAACTCTTGCTGACTTTGGTAACCTTTCGATCTTCGCAGTGTCTGTGATCGGCAT